GATTTTTAAGAAAGGGAAAAAAAGCGACCCGGGTAACTATAGGCCTGTTAGTTTGACATCTGTAGTATGTAAGATTCTGGAAAAAATTTTGAAGGAGAAAGTAGTTAGAGACATTGAGGCTAATGGCAATTGGGACAAATTACAACATGGTTTTACAAAAGGTAGATCGTGCCAAACCAACCTGATCTCCTTTTTTGAGAAAGTAACAGATTTTTTAGATAAAGGAAATGCAGTGGATCTAATCTACCTCGACTTTAGTAAGGCATTTGATACAGTACCACATGGGGAATTATTGGTTAAATTGGAAAAGATAGGGATTAATATGAAAGTTGAGAGGTGGATAAGCAACTGGTTAAAGGGGAGACTACAGCGGGTCATACTGAAAGGTGAACTGTCAGGTTGGAGGAAGGTTACTAGTGGAGTTCCTCAGGGATCAGTTTTGGGGCCAATTTTATTAAATCTTTTTATTGCTGATCTTGGCACCAAAAGTGGAAGTGTCCTAATAAAATTTGCGGATGACACAAAGTTGGGAGCTATTGCCAATTCAGAAAAGGATCGGGATATCATACAGGAGGAGCTGCATGATCTTGTAAATGGCAGTGATAGCAATAGGATGAAATTTAATAGTGAGAAGTGTAAGGTTATGCATTTAGGGATTAATAACAGGAATTTTAGTTATAAGCTGGGGACACATCAGTTGGAAGTAACGGAGGAGGAGAAAGACCTCGGAGTTCTTGCTGATTATAGGATGACTATGAGCCGCTATTGCGACATGGCCGTGAAAAAGGCTAATACGGTCTTGGGATGTATTAGGCGAGGTATTTCCAGTAGGGATAAGGAGGTGTTAGTGCCATTATACAAGGCATTGATGAGACCCCATTTGGAATACTGTGTGCAGTTCTGGTCTCCCATGTTTAAGAAGGATGAATTCAAACTGGAACAGGTACAAAGAAGGGCCACTAGGATGATCCGAGGAATGGAAAACCTGTCTTATGAAAGGAGACTCAAGGAGCTTGGCTTGTTTACTTTAACCAAAAGAAGGCTGAGGGCAGACATGATTGCACTTTTTAAATATATTAGAGGGATAAATACCAGGGAGGGAGAGGAATTATTTAAGTTTAATACCAATGTGGACACAAGAACAAATGGATATAAGCTGGCTAGTAGGAAGTTTAGACTTGAGATTAGACGAAGGTTTCTAACCATTAGAGGAGTGAGATTCTGGAACGGCCTTCCAAGGGAAGTAGTGGGGGCAAAAGATCTATCTGGTTTCAAGATTAAACTAGATGGGTTTATGAAGGGAATGGTTTGATGAGATAACATGATCTTGGTAACTAATTGACCATTCATTATCAGAAGTTCTACTTGCCAGTCTAGACACAGCCAAGGAGCTTGGCTTGTTTGCCTTAACCAAAAGAAGGCTGAGGGGAGACATGATTGTACTTTTTAAATATATTAGAGGGGTAAATACCAGGGATGGAGAGGAATTATTTAAGTTTAATACCAATGCGGACACAAGAACAAATGGATATAAACTGGCTAGTAGAATATTTAGGCTTGAAATTAGACAAAGGTTTCTAACCATCAGAGGAGTGAAGTTCTGGAACAGCTTTCCAAAGGAAGTAGTGGGGGGAAAAGACCTATCTGGCTTCTAGATTAAGCTAGATGGGTTTATGAAGGGGATGGTTTGATGGGATAACATGATCTTGGCAACTAATTGACCTTTCACTATCAGTGGTAAGTAAGTCAATGGAGGGATGATAGGAGTTACTAAAGAGAACTTTCTGGGTGTCTGGCTGGCGAGTCTTGCCCACATGCTCAGGGTTTAGCTGATCGCCATATTTGGTGTTGGGAAGGAATTTTCCTCCAGGGTAGATTGGCAGAGGCCCTGGAGGTTTTTTGCCTTCCTCTGTAGCATGGGGTACAGATCACTTGCTGGAAGATTCTCTGCATCCTGGGGTCCTTAAACCATTTGAGGACTTCAATATCTGAGATTTAGGTGAGAGGATTATTCTAGGAGGGGTGGGTGAGATTTTGTGGCCTGCACTGTGCAGGGGGTCAGACTAGATGATCATAATGGTCCCTTCTGAGCCTTAAAGTCTATGAGTCTATGAGTCTATCCTATGGGCTGTGGATGACCAGCTCCTCCTAGTGGTCAGTGTCACACACAGCCTGGGGCTGTTCCTCTGCATGGCTGTGGAGCAGCATCACTTCACAGTTAAGAGTATGTCTAGACTACATGTCTCTGGCGACAGAGGCATGTAGATTAGACTACCCGGCATAAGGAAATGAAGCGGTGATTTAAACCTCATGAGATGAGGTTTACCAGGGAGGTTGACAAATACCCTTGTTGTCGACCACGGAGCGTCCAGACTAGCGCACTGAGCCGACAAACAGCTGATTGGCACAGTGCAGCAGCTGTTTAAATTTAAATGAAGTGGTGATTATTTAAATCGCCACTTCATTTCCCTATGTCCAGTAAACAAATCTCCATCGACAGAGTCACGTAGTCTAGACATACCCTCACTGTGCACACTCCAGCTGCTTCTTCAGGGGCTGGTCTCCTTCTCTGTGTGATGCAGGGTGAGCAAGTCATCAGCTTCCTCCCACCTCTGGGGAGATTACTCACTATATGGGACATCGGCAATGGCCGCAAAGAGGTTTGCTCCCATGTCGGGTCAGTGCCAAAAGTCCTGTGGGAACAGAGCACCTGCAAACCAGCATAATTCCGATTCATACGAGTATCCACTGAGAGCAGCGTTTGCCTTTTGCATGCCCCCGTCTGTGCCCCTTTGGATTTCATAAGTACAACTCAATTCTTCTGATGCCTGAATTATCAAAAGCCAAGATCGAAGAATAAATAAGGGAAGGCCAGAGGAAGGGTGGAGGGGGTGAAAGTGGGAGAGGTGGAGGAGATAATTTAGCATTTAGATGACAGGAATCCTGTATCTAATTCCTATATACAGGAAAGAAAAGGAAAGAAATATTAAGCCCACAGAGCTTCAATATTAACATTTTCTAACATTTTGTGGCAAGTCACTTAAGGGACACTAGTTAGCCCTAATTATTAATGTATATTCTGAATTTGTTACTGACTTTGGGTATGTCTACACTACAGGACTAATTCGAACTAAGCTAATTTGAATTAGCGCATCTAGACCCAAAAGCTAATTCATATTAGCGTTTTGCTAATTCGAACTAGTGCGTCCATACTGATTGGATGCTGGGTCAAATTTGAGGGCAGCTGAAACTGGTTCCGGCAGGGCATCAAGTCAGTAGTTGCTTTATGTGGCTGCTGTCTAATGTACAGCATCCAGCCAGGACTGAGAGTGAGCAGTCAGGTGGGAGTGCACAGCAGTGCGGGGCCCTGAATGAGAAGGGTCCAAAACTTGAGTAACTTCCCCCAGAGCCTGACAATCACAGAACTAGTGCTGGAAATCTGAAACTGACCTGCTGTGTCTACACTGGGCCACTTATTCCGGAAAAGCAGCCGCTTTTCTGGAATAAGCTGCGAGCTCTCTACACTGGCCCCTTGAATTTCCGGAAAAGCAGTGACGATCTACTGTAAGAAATCAGCTGCTTTTCCGGAAATACTATGCTGCTCCCGCTCGGGCAAAAGTCCTTTTTCCGGAAAACTGTTCCAGAAAAGGGCCAGTGCAGACAGCATAGTAGTGTTTTCCGCAAAAAAGCCCTGATCGCGAAAATGACAATCGGGGCTTTTTTCTGGAAAAGCGCGTCTACATTGGCCACGGACGCTTTTCCAGAAAAAGGGCCAATGTAGACGCTCTTTTTCTGGAAATACTTATAATGGAAAACTGTTCCTTTTTAAGCATTTCCGGAAAAAGGTGCCAATGTAGACACAGCCACCCAGATTTTACAGCAATGCCAAATCGAGAGATTCACACAAGGAAGACCACACTGGGACATGTTCCTTGCTGTCTCTGAAAACAAGAGAAATCCCCATCTGGCTGTGTCACTGTGAGGCTGATCACTGCTGCTGTCCCACACCTGACAGTAATAATCAGCCTTGTCCAGCGCCTAGACCCCGGTGATGGTTAACGTGGCCGTGTTCCCGGAGTTGGCACCAGAGAATCGCTCAGGGATTCCGGAGGGTCTGCTGCTATTACGATATATCACGAGTAGGGGGGCGCTGCCAGGTTTCTGTTGGAACCACTGCACATAATTCCTACCAATGTTGTTCCCTGAGCAGGTGAGTTGAGCGTTTTGCCCTGGAGACACAGACACTGAGGGCGGCTGAGTCAGCACGTACTGGGCCAGAGAACCTGCAAGGAGAAAGCACATGAATAAAATGACTCAACATTGATCCCAGTGAACATGATCTGCAGGCAGTCAGGAGACACACAGACACCAAATATCACCTGAGCAGTAGGTGAACAGTGCAAGGAGCAGAGGGGCCCAGGCCATGGCGGGGGATCCAGACGAGCTCGGCTTACTGAGGCAAATGGGTCTGTGACTGGGACCTTCTGATTCTCTCTTAAACCCTCAGCGCTAGAGAACGGCCCCTTCATGCAAATCTGCCCCTTGCTCCCAGACAAGATGGGCAATGGGAGGGGGAAGATCCTGGGATCAAGGCTTCTCTGCTCTACAGCAGTGAGTCCCAGTCCTATGCACGCCCCATATGGTCAGGTCTGACTGCACCTGCTCTCTGCCAGCTCCCACCTGCTCCATTTGTCCCTCTCTGCCCTCAGAGCAAGAAGGAAAAAGGGGAATCTGGGAGGCACCGGGGAAAAAGCTTCATTATTATTGTCATTTTATCTCCCCATAGAATCCCTCCCCAGCAGTATGTGGTCAAATGGTTCATCATGAAAAGGGATAGTGGCTCCTCTCCCTGACACTAGAGCTGAAAGCTCCCTCTGCAGGTCAGAGCTTCATTTGCAATGTGATCTCTTGCCCCAGCTCACATTTTACCAGCGCTTCCCATGTTGAGTGCAGTTCCCCAGCTCCAGGACCTTGGTTTCTATCCCCAGCCTGGATTTGCTTCCTGGCAGAATTTATACAGTGAGAAGTCGCTCTGCTCCTTAGTAAAATTTGCATCAGTCCAGTCCTGCCTGTTATCTGAAAACACTACAGAACATGCGTAGGGTGCTCACCTGGGAGGGAGGTAGTTAGAAAAAAATCCGGGACTACTGGGGACAGGGAAAGCTGGGAACTCCGACCATTACCAGTCAGAACACTGCCTCCAGGGTGAGGAGGCTCAAATGTCAGCTCAAATGTCAACTCAGCACTGCCAAGCAAGCTGGGCTTTTGTCATGGCCTAGGGCTGTTTGCTGTTTTGGGGCTTCCTCTCCCCTTGAGGAAGAAGAGCTCTTGGGCAAATGGGGGTTTTGCACAAAAGTTGCAGTCTACTCAGCATTTTTTTGTGCAAAAACCACTTGCGCATAAAAGATCAGATTAGAAAATACAAATGAGAGCCTGACATGCAAATGAGCGCTCCATCCGCATTTCCTCTTCTGGAAAAAGATTGTCATGCATGGCTTAAGCTCTGCCCTAGGACTAGATGCTCTACACCCCTCTCAGTGGATAGAGATATCTCTGGCTGCCTGAGCCCTTTGCTCTCCTAGCTCCCATTCCGCCTGCACATGCATTGTCAGCAGCTAGACAGCTCATACGTTACCCCTCCAGAAGGAGCACACAAATGTGTTACTAAGGAGGTGATAGGATCTCCTTGTTTGAGAAAGCCCTGGCTGGGATAATTTAGTTGGGATTGGTCCTGCTTTTCAGACTCAACCCCCCATTTTGGCTGCTTGCAGGAAGAAATCCTGACTAGTTTTGGAGTGTTTATTGTTGGGGGGCTGAATAGGGTGGGTGCTGTAAGACAGGCACTCACATTGGGTCTGCTTACACAGCAGGTGATAGATGAGCACAAATGATATTTACAGATATCTCAAAGGTTCTGGGGTTTCTTTCACTTTCCTGATTGGACCCACAACCCCAACACAACATGGTGGACCTGTGCTAGGGGAGGGAAGACTCAGCCCTTACCCACCCCACTGGTTTCTAAGGAGACATTCTGTGATACCAGGCTGCCCCGAAGGGTTTGGGACCCTCATGCAGTCACAAAAGGAATGAATAACTGATCCCCCCATGTTGACAGGCAGTTTGGGCCTCACTTCCCCATCAGGCTGTGTTGTTATGCTTACGTCTATGCTGCAGTTTTTGCGTAAAAACTTGTGGAGAGTCCACACTAGAAGTACGTTCTTGTGCAAGAAAAAGTACAGTTAATCATAAGAACACAGGGCTCTTTCTTCGAGGAATAAACCTTTTTGCTCAAGAGCTCTTGAGCAAAAAGGCATGTGTGGATGGGCAATAGGCATTTCTTGTGCAAGAAAGCCTTATGGCCAAAATGGCCATCAGAGCTTTCTTGCACAAGAGAGGGTCCACACTGCCATGTGGACATCTCTACTGTAAAAGCACATGGCAGTGTGGAAGCGCTCTTGCACAAGAACTTTTTGTGCAAGAATTCTTGTGCAAAAAGTTCTTGCGCAAGATGCTTGCTGTGCAGACGTAGCCTGTGTGTGAGCTATTGTCCCACACCCAGCAGTAAAAATAAGCCACTTCCCGCACCAGGACCCCAGTGATGGCCATTTTGCCAGAGATGGCCCAAGAAAATTGCTCAGGGATTCTGGAGGTTCACTCACTATCCTTATATATGATGAGTTGTGGGGAATGGCCAGATTTATGCCAGAACCAGCACGGATAGTATTTGTCCAGCTATTCTCCTGTGCAGGAGAGCTGAACATTTTGCCCTAGAGACACAGACACTGAGGGTATGTCTACACTACGAATTTTTTCGGCAAAAAATATGATAACGGGGGACTCATTTGCATGAGTCATGATCTCATTTGCATATGTTATGTGGATCTGTTTTTGCGCTAGGGTTTGTGACAGGGGGAAGGTAGAGAACTGAACTGTGCAAGTTGTTCACTTCCCCTCACAGCCCAGAAGGACGAGGAAGTTTTTGTCTCACTTCCCCATCTGACTGTGTCACTGTGACAAGCACTGCTGTGCCACACAGCACAGTAATAGTCAGCCTCATCCTCTGCCAGGGCCCCAGAAATGGTCAAATAGCCGGTGTTGCTGGATGTGTCCTTGGAACCAGAAAACCGGGCAGGGACCCCGGAGCCCTGGTGTTTGTCAGAATCTGACTTGTATCTCAGCAGGTATCGTGGGGAATTCCCCGGTTTCTGTTGGAACCACCTCACATTGTAGCCACTGATGCTGGTCCCACTGCTCATGGCACAGGAAAGTTTCACGGTGTTTCCTGGGGACACTGACACTGAGGGCGGCTGAGTCACCACATTCTGGGAGCTGGAACCTGGGAAAAATGGTAAAAATCTGTCATTGAATCATAGACTCATAGAACCATAGAGCTGGAAGAGACCTCAGAAGGTCATCAAGTCCAGCCCCCGCTCAAACCCTCCTTGTCCTTCCCCAGCCACCAGTGAGTCAGTTTGTGCCTCGGGCTCCAGCAGTAACTTCAATGGGTATTTAACCTGCCCTCCCTGTGCTCACCTGTGCAGCACGTCCCCAGCAGGACAATGAGGGGAGCCCAGAGCATGGTGAGGAGATCTCAGGCCCTCGGAGCCCTGCCAGACAGGGTGACTGTCCCCTCCGAGAGCTGCCTGCTGGCGTTGGGAGAGACTGGTCGCGCTGACTGTGCCGGAGAGTTCCTGACCCTTATATCAGTCTCTGTGAGTGAGGAGCAGCTAAGCTCCTCCTTTATGCTAATCTGCTCCTATCCCATTGGGCCCAAGAATCAATTGAGAGAGTCATGTGAGCTGGACAACTTTCACTGGGCGATGAACTTCTACTTTAGGGGCTCTTTTCCAGTTCCAATGAGGTTCTTGTTAATGAAGGAGCTCGTGTTTTTTCTATGCTACTGATACTTAACATGCTCCAAAGGGTTAAATGACAAGGACGTACCTCAAAACCATAGACTCCAAGTGCTGAATCTATTTTGGTTTCCCCAGACCAAGGTTAAGGGACGTCTTTCTCAGTACTGTTGTTCTGACCTGGAGAACAACATTTGCTAATCGGTTCTTCACTGGGGCAGACAACACAGCGGAATGGCTGGCAGCACTTGCATGTGCCCAGCTACCTGTGCTGGCAACCTGTTCCCAGTTGCTCATTGGATGTACCCACAGGTTCCAAGGCAAGAAGAGACCCCAATGTGATCATCCAGCTTGACCGCCATGTAACACAGGCCTGAGAACGCTTGCAAGTCATGAATCAGCACATCTCCTAAAAACCACCTCTCTGAAATTAAATGGTGCCAGTGATGGAGAATCCACCATGACCTGCAGTAAATTGTATCCTCACTAAACCCTCACCCTCATGTTAAACATTCACATCATGGTTCCAGGTTGGATTATTCTACTTTCAACTTCCAGCCATTGGATCCGGCCAGCATCTAGCCCTGCACATGTACCTGATGAACCCAGGTATTTTGGGTTAGCAAACAACCCCATGTAGCTGGAAAAGTTCAGCTAACAAGCGGTTTGGATCCAGTCTTTCCTGTAATTTTTCCCATCCTGAGCAGAATGAATTTTCTTATGCGCACTACTGTGGATGTGATATGCAACATGGAGTGATGTGTGACACAGCCGTGATCTGCAACACTGAATTATGTTCAACACAAAGTGATGTCTGACATAGAGAAACGACATGCAACACAGAGTGATATGTCAAATGGAGTGATGTGAAACATGAAGGTGATGAGTAACAGAGAGATTTGCAGCATGGAGTTATTTGTGACTTGGAGTGATGTTCAAGACTGAGGCGTTGGGTGACAAGGACTGATTTGTGACACAGTGGTTATGTGTAACACGAAGTGATGTGCGACACAGAGGTGATGTGTAACACAGAGGTCCCATGTGGGTCTTAATGGGAAGCTGTGTGGCTGCTGGGGGTATCTTAGAGTGGCTCCCATTGTACTGTCACTGTGTCGGTTACATAGGACTTGTTTTCCTTCGCCCTTGTTTTGCAGGGTCACTGTTGTCGAAGACATTCTTTTATCTCAGTCCAATACCTTTAGCCTCATGGTACCATGATAAACACCCATCCTTTCCCTTGTGTGCTTGATAGCCTGGCATGCTCCGTGCATGCAGAGCACATAGCTGGTCCCACAATCAGCTCCGTTTGAACTTCTCCCAGGCCAGGGGCATTTCTCTTGTGCTGAGGGCTTGGCTGTTCACAGGCTTTGGTCCCTGTTCACAAGAAAATGCTGTGCCCAGTGTAAACCTACAATGTTCCTAGAAACAGGGCCCTGTGGCTGCAACTGGACTGAGGAGCTGCACTGCCTGGCACTGGTAGGGCTGGTTACTACTCCCATTGCAGTGCCAGTGCCCCGCACTCAGCATGGGCCAGCTGGTGACACCAAATACCCTAGAGACACCAACCGATCCCCTCCTCCTGTGCTGGGGGACCCAGCGAGACACTGTCACACACTGGGGAGGGGAAACGGCTCACACACCGACTGACGGTGTCAAGGTTTGTCTCCAGCACTTCATTTAGGTGACTGGCAATTCATCTGGGTATCAGAGAAGCAGAGGGGATAAAGTCACTGCTGAGCTTCCTTTGGTGGCTCACGAGATGCCATGTTTGCGGCAGGACATGAAGCGTTTGGTGTTTATATTACTAGTGTCCCAAACTCCTCAGCTGCTGAATGGGCCACATGAGTGGCCCTCCTCTGTCTGAGCGGGCCACAAGATTGTTGTAACCAAGAGCATCCCCTCCTCACAGATGAGTCTCAACAGAATCTGGCAATGTGGAGTGTGCAACGGCAAACAAAAGATCTCGTGGGCTACACATACAACTCCAGGGGGCCGCAGGTTGCTCATCACTGCTGCAGAGCTTGTCTGCATAGACCTGGTGGGACTTCACAGCCCGTGGGCAGTTACACACTATCCCTGTCCTGTGGCACCCGTGGGAGTGACAGGAAGAGTGGACTGAGCCCAGCTCTGCACTGGGAAATGTGTGGAGTGAAGACAGAGATCTTCCAAACCCCTCACAGTCCTCCAGCCCCACAGCTGGGAGAGACACAGGGACTGGGAGAATTTAGGGAGTGGTCATACGGGTCACTTTATTCTTACAATAGTATGTAATTCTTTGCAAGCAAACACATGTCCAATACCAGTCACCTGACTGCCATGGAAACACTGTTTAAACTGAGCTCTGTTCATTTACTCCTACGGTAAAGTGGGGGTAAAAAAAAAAGGTTGGGTGAAGGGAGGGGCCTTGCTCTGTACTTTATGGTCGGTAGGGCCAATAATGGCCAGAGCAGCAAATGCCAACACTGTAGATTCCCCACAGAAAACACTCTGCCCTCTGTCCCTAGGCTAGGGATTGCATAACAGAGTGAATCTGCTGAGTCTAGCAGGAAGAGTCGTACACATGTGGAGTGGCTCTTTCAGGAGGATTCATGGCCAAAATGGACTGGGTTTTAAAGTATGTCCTTCTAATGCACATGAGAATTTTGAAGTTTTCACAGTTGGGCCAGGGAATCATCTAGCCAGCCAGCCACTATAATGGTGCTGCTGAGAATCTGCAATCCTCTGCAATGGTTGTAAGGAATCTGGTTACATTCCTAATGCGCACCCCTCATAGCTTGGGAAAACTGCAGAGAGTAGGAGAGTAGAAGAAACCTGCACTGCTAGTATTGATGGCTTTGCTTTCTGTCCAGACTTAAAAAGCATGAAGGAGAATGAAGGGACCTAATCTTACAAATACAACACAGTCACTTATATTCTCTGCTCTGTGACATCTTTGAATCATGTTGGCATTCTCCATCAGATTGTATTTGTCTGTTGGGGTCCAGAGGCTATTGTGATGAATGTGACAGTCTACACGTCCTTGGAGAGGCTTTTGCAGGCTGTTGCTCATAGTCTCAGGCAACATTACACCAAATTATATACACCCTGAACCCTGAGAAGGGCTAGAGAATGTGCGTGTTCTACATTAACAATCAGAATGTGCACAGACAGGTTTACTCAGGAGAAATATATTGAGGTGACGTTCCAGCCCAGTTCAGCGATCTCTGAACCCTCATAAGGACAGAAACCAAACTGAGGGTCATGATCTTCCCAGCAGAGCACAGGCCACAGGAGTGAAGGGGAAGATTTTTTCTTTCTTCCACTGCTATACCACAAAGCACAATGACAGCATCCTTGCTTTGGGAACCCTGCAGATCACTAAGCATACAGTTTTACTGGGTATCTTAAGGATTCCAGCAGTGCCCTGTTTTTTCTCAGAATCTGAGAGGCAGCT